CATTTCCACTCTGCAATATCCACGAAGAAAAGGCTCAAGTTTTAATAAGTATCACCTATTTTGCTGAAGTCAAACTGAATGGAAGGAAATTCCCTGCCTTATGCCGACTGTAGGGGTTCAAACACGGGACTGCAAAATGAAAACTCTCTTTCCTCATTAGCCACCTTATAAAATTAACTGCTGTAATCTTTTTTCCTCTGTATTTCTGGGGTTTTGTGGGGATTTTTTAAATGTTCTTTCATATTGTAAAGTTCCTGGAGGCAGAATTGTACTTTCATCTTGTAGGGAACCCAGAGAAGGCTCTTATTTCTGCAAAGAAATGCTATCTGGGAGCTTTTCCCCAAACTTGGAGCCTCTGTTAGTATCAACGTCAGGTCCAAGCAAACAAAAACTCCTACATGTCAGAGTCTGGAATCTGCTGTAGCAGTATCACTTTAAGATATTAAAAGAAAGCATTCCAACTGCTCTTGTAGCTATTTTACTTTCTTCTTTCCACTCAATCCAAACATGCCAGTAAATTTATACAGATATTTCAAGTGGGAGGGATATGGTGAGTGTTTGTTTGGAGTCAAAACTTCTCAGATAGTCACATCTGGGTCCTACGCACACATAGACCTATCCAAGCACAGATTTGAAATACTATCTCTATTAGCTAGTGTGACCCTTCTGTTACTGTTCAAGAGAAAACAAATGGGTAGCTTATGCCCATTCAACTACCAACTGCAACTATAAAGTGTAACTGTGGAGACTGGAGAATGTTAAGTCCCTTTTAAAAGATCCATGTTTTGATTTATATACACACACAGAGGTATATATTGACACATGGAGTCTATCTGTATATTGTTCATTTCAAATACATCACACCCAAATCCATGTAGTCCAAGTCAGCACAGATTCTGATCACCTGCCCCACTGCATCTTCTCAAATTCATTACATGACTATTGCTAATTAGAGACTGGGAATGCTGCTTTTCTCAGGATCAGGTTAAGGATATAGGGTTCTCTTAGAGACATGGGGATGGACAAATACAGTCACTGACAATTCTAAATAGTACATATATTTATATGCGCAAGATAAAATGCTTAAATAAGACCTTTTCTAAGCCAAATGGTGGATCACTGATCATCTGTTTCAAACTACACATAACTGAGGAGTAACTGCTTAGCTCCTTTAGAACTGGAAGATTCTTAAGGAAATTAAAAGCATCAGATGATTCACCTTCTAGAGGTTTCAGGTCCCCATTCTTACACATCGGCAGTCACGCAATTTACAAGATTCAGCCATGGGGTTTAAATTCAGAGGAGTATTTTGTGCCTAATCATTTGTAAAACTTCTTGGAGGAGGTCAAGATAAAGAACACTATCTCAGAGGGATCTTAGCAGCAAAATGTTACAGAACGGAGAGAGAACTTTGGATCTGACCCCTGGAAGTCATCTCTCCTGGTAGGCACCATTACAAGACTGCCATCTCAGTGTTCGCAGAAGAATTCTTCTCAGACACTGCTCTGTACAAGTACTTGCCTGGCCTGATTCTAAAGATGACATTAAGCTGGGCTTCACCCATTTCAGTTAGTAAGGAAGTCAAATTTTATTCTTAAGAGTTGCTCCACCATTAATAATCCTCTCAAAAAGACTTTAACCATGGTGAGCTGGCACATCTCAGGCTGTCCACAGTCAGGAAATCTACAGGGCTAGTTCAAAAGAGACTCTGCAGTCACAAGCATCAGGATCTCAGAAGACACTTTTGATCAAAACTCACGTGACACCTAGACACAGCAGGATCTAGACTGGCAGGTACACTCCTGTGGCATTCCAATCAGCTAACAGGAAAGTCAAAAGGTCTGATTAACCGTGGAGCTTTGATCCAGAAGGGAGATGCAATGTGGAATGGAAGGGAAGTATATGTGGGTCTCTCAAAGTGTTCCCAAGCTTCCTTCAGCTATATTTACCAAAAGGGATTCTGCTGAAGGGGGTAATAGTCCTCTAATCTCTTTAGTATCTTAACCTTTTAGCTGCCCTTTCTGTAAAGACTATATCTCTAAACCAAATCTGACATCAAGAAAATAGCTGCACAGAAAAATTAAATCTATCCAAAGGTGGTTGGAAGGAAGAAGAATCTCCCATTTATTTCATGACCTGTGACCCTGGAATTCCAGCCTATTTGATCTGGGCTAGCACTTTTACAGAGTAACCATTTATAGCTAGCTACACAGAAGGTATCCCACTTCTTTAAGGACAATTGACAAAGACATTATGGCTGAACAAAGTAAAACAGTCAATAAGCACTCCAATTATATTGAGACACATTCACAGTCAAAATCACTCCCAAGTTTACCACCACATCACCTTCTGATTCCTCACCAAGGCAGAGGCATTCCTCAGCCATGTGCCAAACAGCTCAGAATTTCACCATGATCACAAGGTGCCACTGCCATGGGATGCTTGCAATTGAAATGATGCTGCTCTTCCCCTCTCACCCAGGCTGACCCGTGCCACAGCACTGTGTTTTAGGACACTGCCTTTCTAGAGACAACTTTAGCAGGAGTGCAAATATGAGTGGGGAGGTACCTGTCTTTTTCATGTCCTGGCCTAAACTAGTGACTGAAACCATTCCAATGGGTAAAGCATTCATTTTGTTGGTTTTATTTTTCCTAAAGACAGGCTTTTCCTAACATGCTTTTTCTCCTTGACCACAGCTGACCACTTCCAAGATCATGCAAGATTCATTCTCCTCTCACTTCATTTAGTACCCATGCAATCTTTTGATTCCTACTTCTTTCATCCTCTCAGGGTACATCCTCCACTAAAGCACAAACTGTCACACTGAACAGACTCTTCAGGACCTATTATGTTGTTCTCTTGGGAATCAGGCAACACTTTTACACTAACATTCCTTCAGAAAGAGCTGCTTCATCTCCCTGCACTGCTGTAGCTTGAGACAGCACTGAGGTAGTTAATTTGCAAAGCAAGAATTTCTCCTGACTCACACTGTTATCCCAACACTCCCCAAATTCCTCAGCCTGAAGGAAAAAAGTACAGAAAGAACCCCCTGCTGCCCCAAGAAAGCATTCTTCATCAGAGTAGCAAGTTCACTTTAATCAGCGGAGGCAGTTTAAACCCAAGTTCATGGCAGATCTAAGCTGCCACAGAAATGTGTTTTGAACAGAAACATTATGGGAAGCTTCACAAAGTTGTTCTGTGATCCTAATATGAAGTAATAAGCTGTTTACCCAGCATGACTGTACTGGGATTAATTGACAAAGGAGGGGAGATTAATTGCTATTATTTCCCTGTCAGCTTCACTCTTCCACACACACTTACTGATCTCACAGACTGCTCCCAGCCTTTCACTCTGTTAATGTGGCAGAACTACCTCAGCTGAGACAAAGTCCTTTACCAAGAGCAATATCCAGAAGAGCAACCTGCTTCTAATCACCTTCAAGTACTAATGAACCCAAATTTGATGCAACAGAGTGAACTCTAGCACTCCTTTGCCATCATCCTCAGTTTCTATCAGCTTTTCTGCCCACGAGCATGCTAAGAATTGGAAAGGATTAAAACAGCTCTGCAGCTGCAGCAAAGCACAGTGAAATTCTGAACTCTGTGAGGGTGCTGGGGCACTGAAGGAGAAAAAGGGAACACGGCACAAATTCTGACAACTAGAATAAACTTTAAACCACCCCTTTGGGCAAGATCTCAGTTCATGAGTACAGCTTTGTAACTACCCAAGAAAGTAGCAGTAAAGAGCTTAGATAAAAGCCTATTTTAAAAAGCCTCGCCTACAAAAGCATTTTTTTTCTTGGCCCAGCCTAAACTAGGAATCCAAAGCAAATGAGATGGGTCAGAAAACCCCACCAAGAATTCAGCCCAGTTACAGAAGCTATTAACTGGGAGCTGATTTGAGATTCTGGGAGTGAAAAGCCTGTGTAATGGGTCTTCCCAGGAAAGTGCTGGACAGAGTTACACCAACAACAGAGTTCAACCACTATGACCACAGAAGGAAACCACAAAACTTTCCCATGCAATAAAGGTCTAAGCCTCTGGAATGCTACCTGCTGTGGAAAGAAAGTTAAAGGGACATGGTTTTCTTCTGGCTTCAAGTTTTAATTTTTCCCACGAGATGGCAGCCTAGTAACACTGTGGAAAGGTGGCTTCCACCTCCAAAGTACATGAATACAAGTTTGTGCTGGGAATCACCCTTCTTCTAAGCCACTTTTGGTGTTAAATTGCTCAAAACAGAGAGGACAAATGGAATTTAAAGACACAGAAGACTAAGAATGAATATTTTAAACTAAGATGAGGTTTAGCATCAGCAGTGTACCTTCCAACAGAGCTGATGTGAAATATTCACTATCCCCTAGCTTCTCAGCAAGAAAAATGAGACCCATGAGGGTCAGGCAGGGCATTTGTGTAAAAAGCCAGACTCCCCATTCCCTTGTAAACACAGAAGGTTTCATCTGATCACAAAACAAAGACCTTTTGACCTCCTAACATAGCACATTACTGCCTTCGGTCAAAAATTGCCGGCTCTTATCATCCAGGGGTGTCAGGGAATGGAGATGTGTTACAGATGGCTTATGTGCCAGTGATCCAACCTGCTAGAATCAGTAGCCTGTGACAACTAGAATGCTAAGCACCCCTCTTTTATCTGAAGGGTTGTTTTGTTCACCCTCATAGTATGCATATAAACCCCCCCAACAGTTCTTCCAGTGAACTTCCACTCCAGGAAACACATCCCCTAGATACTCTGATCTTAGACTCTTCTACAAAATCTAGCTCACAGCCTATCAACTTTCTTGACCAAAATCACAGAGCTTTCTCATGGCATTCAAGCACTCTACTGCAGACATCACACACTCCCCACAGTTCATCTCAGCCCTGCCCAGCAGCCTGAGCTACCCAGGGCTGGAATCCAGTCCTGCAGCCAGGCAGTAATGCAGCAGCTCAGCATTAGTTAACCAGAAGGACCTGATTTCAGCCACCCCCTTCATCAGCATTACCTGAATAACCTGGTAGGCAATTACAAAGGAAGCCATTAGTAAGATCCACACAGAGCCCTCCATTCTGGCACGGCTGGGACTCACACTCATCAATGTTGGTAAAGCAGGTATCCCCTTTAAGTGAAAACACAAAGAAGCATCTTGAGTACACAGGTGCATCAGGGAAGGAAAGAATCTGAATGACAAATGCACTCAGATTTTTTTACACTTATTTTCTGTTCCCTAAAAATGCAAAATAATTTCTTGCACTATAGCATGTCTCTCCAGCCACTCTAGCATGTAGATACTACCACCAAAACCATTAGGGAAAATGGAGTATGATTTTCCAGTGTCACAAAAGAGAGCAGTGGCAGAATCAGAACTTCTGAACCATCCCCATCCATGCAACAGTGGGCCCAACTCTCTTTTTTTCTCTCAAAACAGAATAAAGTAGTATTGTTTAGCCCCTCCCACCAGGGAATTTCCCCAGCTGTTAAATCAGCCTTTTATACAATCTACAAACCAGGAAAAGGGTGAAATTTTACTTGAACATCCACAGAGCCCCTAGTTCCAAGAGCAAGGTATCAAGAACCCCTCTTCTCCTACCCACTCTCATTATACAGTTTGCTGTCATGAGAGTAGTCTCATCAAGGGAACACCTAGAACAGTTATCTGTGACTCCAGGGAATTAGTTTCCTCTGATGAGGCTTTCACAGATATTCTGTAAGGATGAATTCTGCCACATGCATGAGAGACTGACAAAGAGAAACCACCCTGGCATCTGCATAGCCAGGGGGCATTCCTGAAAGCACTTGGGAAGTGCATAGGCTGTTGCCTCAGCCTCGAGACAAGCTTGCTGGACAGAGAATGACATTCAGACAGCTGTCCACAATATATTCCTACAATATGTGAGCAGAAGCACATTCCTGATGCATCAGGCTGCCACTCCTGTGAAGTGCCAGTCACCAAGTGATTTTTGTTGCACAAATAACATTGCTCCATTCCTATCTACTCAAACAATTAGCATTTGCCAGGTGCAGACAGCTCAAAAATTCACTGCATAGCTCACCTGCAAAGCCTGGCTGGCACCAACAGAGGAAACCAGCTGCTTGGCTATAGCTGAAATTACTGGGGAACTCAGGTTGCGTCCCATAATAGGCTTGGTTGGATCTCTCAAAGCATATGCCTCCGTTGTGACAGGGAGATGTTGCACACTCATCCACATCCTCTTCACAGTGCTGCCCTGTGTAACCTGCCAGGAGACATCAGTATCAGCATCATCCACAGCTTCACTGGAATCAGTCTGCCAAATATTGATGCTGCCTTGAAGGTGAGAATAAGACTCAGAAGACACTGCAGCTCATCTCGTGAGACCTCACTTGGAGTATTGTGTGCAGTTCTGGCGTCCTCAGCATAAGAGGGACATGGAACTGTTGGAACAAGTCCAGAGGAGGCCACGAGGATGATCAGGGGCTGGAGCACCTCCCGTATGAAGACAGGCTGAGAAAGTTGGGGCTGTTCAGCCTGGAGAAGAGAAGGCTGTATGGAGACCTCATAGCAGCCTTCCAGTATCTGAAGGGGGCCTATAGGGATGCTGGAGAGGGACTCTTCATTAGGGACTGTAGTGATAGTACAAGGGGTAACGGGTTAAAACTGAAACAGGGGAAGTTTAGATTGGATATAAGGAAGAAGTTCTTTACTGTAAGGGTGGTGAGGCACTGGAATGGGTTGCCCAGGGAAGTTGTGAATGCTCCACCCCTGCCGATGTTCAAGGCCAGCCTGGACAAAGCCTTGGGTGACATGGTTTAGTGTGAGGTGTTAGGGGAGTTGGAACTGGATGATCTTAAGGTCCTTTCCAACCCTAACTATTCTATGATTCTATCTAGTAGGGAGTTCCAGGGCCCTCCACTTTCTCCACTCTGTCAAAAGCAGGAGCCAAATGGTCACCTTGCAGGAAAGCATTAACCCATGACAGAAAAACACATAATGGAAAATGGCAGAAAAAAAAAAGAAAGAAAATTTTACAGCTGGGACTTGGGTGTATTTCCCAGCCATGAGGTCAGTCGGATTTTGGGGTGGCCTGTAAAGGGCAGCAGTGGCAGCCTGTTTCAGACAATGAAAAAATCACACAGTATGATCACTAATTCTTTACTTCTTCAACACAGCAGCTTAGCATGTGCTCTCCATTGCAGTGTGCCTACACACTAGCATAGCAACACAGATTTCTAACCTACCTGGCCAGCAGACACAGCTGTAGTTTTTGATTCCTTCCACACATGTTGCACTGTTCAGACAGGGTTCAGAGGCACACTCCAGGATATCCACCTCACAGTGGTCCCCCTGGAAGCCTGTGTCACTGCAGTCACAACGATAGCTGTGGGGCATCAAAACAGAGCAATGCATAAGCTCTTCATTCAACTGCAAAGCCCAGTATGAGGAAAGAGCAAACAGAGCTGTCAGTCCTTACACCATCTGTGGGGCAGAGGAAAAGACAAAAGAATCCTATCTGCACAAAGGCCATGCTAATGCCAGAGCAGACAACCCTCAGCAGCCTCTGAGTTCACACCTTACCTGTGAAGAGATAAATTCAGACACAGGTATGCTCTCAGCAGTTGCTTTTGCCATTCATGTTCTGCAAATCACTTCCCCTTTTATCTGATCTTTCAGCAAAAAGCAGTAACAGGAATACTTTCCTGTCTTCCTTTAAGCACCTTAGGAGTCCTGCTGCTGGGAGGGGCCTTTTACTTACTGCCATAAACCACTGGGCCCCCTGGGATGTACCAAACACTAACTCCAACTCCACCCACAGATTTCTGTTCACAGTTTACACTAAGTGACTTTTTGATCAGTCCTGGTATCTAACTGTCAAAGAACTCTTGATTTCTCACCTGTTAACAAGGTCATGACATGTCCCATTGTGCAGGCACGGCTGGCTCACACATTCATTGATGTCCACCTCACACTGCATTCCTTGATAACCTGGGGCACAGGTACAGGTGTAGAACCCAACGTGATCATTGCACACGCCCCCATTCTGGCAAGGGTCTGAATCACATTCATCGATTTCAGCATCACAGTTCACACCTTTGTTACAAAACAGAGAAATATTCCTGTTATAAATCCAAAACATGTATCTGTGCTGCCTGGACTTGTGAGCTGGAATCACAAAACCCATGCTACCAACCACACTGGCTACATAGTGATCTCTTCTAATTCTGCTGTAAGAATATTGAGAGCTCATGACCAGTGATTCTACAAATTAAAGACCTTTAATTTTTATTTGAAAACACAGTTATTTTGTCTAGAGTTTTGGATTTTAGTCCTCTCTCAAAAATACACACAGCTTCCAGTATTTGTGAAGCTCTAGTCTCTTGTACTCAAGTTTGCTGAAGCAGCCACTCAGCACTTCACAAACAACACCCTATTTCTAAGCAAGCCATAAAATCTTGATCTTACATACAGCTCATGACAGCTGTTTTAGTTTGGGATCCTTTGAAGGAAGGGAGAACAGGGATGGGAAGAGAAGAATCACACTGCTAGTCAGTGTTATTTAGACTTTTATATATGATATAGCTCTTACAGTTTTAGTTACACGTGGTACTCTTCACTTGTTTTGCATTGCTATTAATCTGATCCAGTGTTCTACACCAGAGGCAGCTGCATTTTGGGTATAGGAAGAGTGATCTCTACATGCTTCTCCAAAATACTGTTTCATTTGTTTAGTTGGTATTTATAACTTGCTTTGAGATACTAGGAAAAAAAAGCATTAAAGCAGTGCAGAACACTAACTACAGTGATACTAGATATTAGTATGGAATTTTATTATGAAGTGGTATTAAAAATACAGTGTTAGTTCCAATTCCACTACTCAAGAACAACAGCAAGTCACTCATTTTTGTCCAAAGTCTCAACTTTCCCTGAAAGAATAAGACCTCCTGTACGACTTCTATGCAACTATCTTCTCATACTATATTCCACCTCTCAGTTGTCCGGTGCCTGGCATCACCTCCATACCTCAGTCATTACAATGGCACCTGCCAATCCACCTAATCTCCCCTTTTTGGCGAAGGCTAACCACATAGTGGACATGGCCATCCTAATCCTGGTGGAATGTGGGCCCCCTAATCTGCTGGTTCAAACCCGTCAATACCAATGCAAAACTTCCTTCACCCAAATTCCAGCTGCAAGCACCAGGAAACAACCTGCTGGCCAAGGGTGCCAGAATGGATGAAGCACCAAAAGGAAAAGCCTCATATCAGAACAACTTGGAACACAACAAACTCCTCCAGCTGCCTGGATCATTTTAGCACTTCCCTGGCAGGGGAACCCCGCAATCCTGAATTGAGGATTCAGCCTAAAGATAAAACAGAAACAGATTTACAAAGACACAATTATACTTGATACTTGAAATCAGTAGTAATCATAAGGCCTACACTGAAATTCTGCTTTTTTCTTCATCTCTGTTAATTCTTATCAGAAAGTGAGTCAGCATCAGGGGCTGCATTCCTGATGTTGTAACTTCTCATTCCACTGGTAATCAGCAGCATTCCTTCAAAGCAACCTAACTCTTGAAACACTTAAGCCTGTGACACCGAGGAAGGCTGGGAAAGTTCATGTGCTAGGTGGTACCAGGCAGACGTGGGCGCAGCACAATTGCATTCCACTCCGATAAACAGCACTGGAGAAAGGAGAACCCCTCACTGCCTCCCTCACAGATTAACTCACAGGTGTAAATTACTCCGAGTCACCATTAGCACAGATGCCCAAAAAAGAGATTCTTGTGTCACATGCCAAAAACCATTCACTGATTGTGTAAGAATTACAAAAGAAATATCCGACTAAAAGCCGCTTTATCCCAAGAAGACTACTTCCCTTTGAGAAGTCCTGCAAGACAGGACAAAGAACCACAGGCAAGACAGGCAGAGACACCTTATACCTGGAAACATTAAGTATATATTTCCTGATAATAGATCTATTTCCTTGTCTATCTCGCTTAATTTTACACTGAGAGGTAATTATAGCTACTTTCCTCTAGTACTCAAGTCTCACATAATCCACCCACTTCCACTCTTTGATCCACATCTCTCAACATCCATGCCATCCATGGAAATCAAAGACTGAACTGTTGCCCAGAAGCCACAGCAACAAGCCCTGCACCATTGTTCACACACAATACTACCAAACACCCCAGAAATGAGTCATGCAAGAGATGTAGTCTCATAGCTGTAAAACAACAGCTTCTCAGGACAGCTACTAACTCTACAAGACACAGCAGCAGCAGGCAAATTGTGGAACTACATGAACAGTGAGATGTAACCCAACCACCCGGCTAGTACATGAGCATGAAAGGTACCTGTGTAGCCGGGGATGCACTTGCACACATAGTGATCCATCTCATTGAGGCAGGTGCCATTGTTTCTACAGGGCCGGGAAGCACACTCGTTGATGTCTATTTCACAGTTGTATCCTTGGAACCCAGGCACACAGAAACAGCTATACTCATTGACCCTGTCTCTGCAGATGGCTCCGTTCTGGCAGGGGTTGGAGGTGCACTCATCAATGTTGTCTCTGCAGTTGGCCCCGGTGAAGCCAGGCTGGCAGATGCAGGTATAGTCCCCAGGACCCTCCACACATGTCCCGTTATTTAGGCAGGGGTGGCTAGAGCACATAGAGCTTTCTGTTTGGCAGCCTTCTCCATTCAGTCCTGTTTGGCATTTACAGGTGTAGCCATTTACGCTATCTACACATTCAAAACGAGGGTCTGTACAAGGGTTGCTCTCACACTCATTAATATTAACGTTACAATCAATACCTGTGAAGCCAGGCATACAGATGCAGTCATATTCCAGGAGTCCCGGAGTGCTGTTGCACATCCTGTGGGCAGTACACTCATGTTTAGAGCATGCATCATAGAGGTGTTCACAGTTTATGCCCATGTAGGCTACAGGCTCCACGGGGCATGTGCACTTGTATCCCACTTCCAAATCCTGACAGCTCCCACCATTTTCACAGGGGGATGAGGAACAGCTGCTGCCATTTTCAGAGGATGAAATTCCTGTTGAGAAAAGATACTTTTTGTTAGCCAGCATTTGTAGCCCTAAAGAAGAAAGTTCTGCTTATCACTACATACAAGTCAGAGACTGCCCACCCAAATGCCATGTTGCAAAGGGCTGCTCTAGGCATTAGCTGAAAAGGTTACTGGAGAATCAAATATTTACTATAAAGAAGACAACACAACATGCCTTCGTATGATGGCCATCAGGAATCTCTTGCTAAGCCGGATGACCAGATGCCTGTTTTTTAGGAGGCACTCACAAACCAACTATTTTATTTGTGCTTATTCATCCATGAGGCACTTTGACAGCAGTGACACTTATCACATTAAATCCATTCATGAGATAAACTGCATGTAAGCTTCAATAACCCCTTTCGCTGGTAGGGCATAGGACTTGTGCTTGGAAATCCAGCAAGGCAGACAGTATTTCTTACTGTCTCACCTGCTCCTTCTGGAGATAACTTCTTTTTTTCCTCAGCTAATCCTCTAGTGATTTGAAAATGCTGCCACAAACAATTCAACCCAAACTGACACATTTCACAGTCTCTGATTACATCGAGCAGCTCAAAGTTTGACAAGCACTGCCCAGGCAGCCTCTCCTCACAGGTTAGACAAGTACATTTACACAGCAGGGAATTTTTAGGTGTTATGAGAATAGCAAAGAAGAACAGAAACTGATGAGATTCACTCTGCCTATGGCATTTTAGGTTCAAACTCTTAGTATCTGCAGAGGCAAAACACAGTGTAATACTCAGATAACAGCAACTAATGCTGAGATTCCCCTAAATCCTATCCACTCCAGGATACATCAGGGAGAAGCTCTTGGGTAGAGATACGCCAGACTGATTCCTGCGTTAAGTGTTAGGAAACATCCAAACTTGGAAGTAACTCTGCAAACTATACAGTAGATGTTTTAAAAACATCTATGAAAAATGACCACAAAGCAGAGATAAAGCTCATGAAATAGCAGCAAATGGTATCTGAGAAACAGCTCCTGCTTCTGGTGAGACAATGCTGACTTTGCTTAGCAGTGGAAGTCAAGCTATCTCTAGCATTTTACCTTGGGTTTAGATGCCACTGTTAAGCAGCTCTTTGCCCTTTTTGCTGCCTTCTGTAACTGTGGGCCCTTGCTCCACCACTGCTAGTTGAGAAATGTTTTAACATGCCATGCTAAGGATCTGCCAGGATCACACACCACAGCATCACTTCTCAGCTGACCTTACACATTCTCTCATTCATGCCATCGTTATCCCAGCCTATTTTTCATCATGTTTGCCTTGCTCTGGTGCAACTTCTACACATCCAGTAGTTAATACGTGTCAGTGGTTTTCTACAACTCACAGCCCCATCAGCTCCTCAGTCTCTTTGTACCTGAAGGTGGAAGCATCCAACTTCAGAATCTGAAAGGGGTTCATAGGAGACTTTGGTTTACAAAAGCCTGCCCCTGCCCTGACCTCCCTCAAATTCCTCCCACCAAAAGACTACAGAGTTTCTAAGTCTTCTTTTAAGAGGACTGCTGATGGGGGGGGAGGGTGCTCAGGGATTTAGACAGCCCTTTCTCTTCCCAGCATCATCTCCAGGCCCACCTCTCCCTTCCTCTCTCATGTGATGCTGGGGAGAGCTGCTGAGCATTGCACTGTCCAGCAATCTCATTATTCTGCCATCGACCCTTTTATTCTCAGATTCCCAGTCAGGCAGAAAACAAGGATGACGGAATCTGCCTGGAATCTCTGCAGCAATTAGAGTGGGAGCCCAGGAAACTATTCCACAGAAGAGCTTTACTGGGCAGGAGATAGGAGCCTTTGTACACTTAATGAGTAACCAGCCCCAGGCTGCACTTTCCTCAGGTCAGGAGCACAGCTCAAGATAAAAAACCAGAGACCAAGTCCACTGCATGTTTGGAAGGACTTTGATTTGCAGAGAAATCTGCAAAGAAACTCACCTTTCAAAAAAATCACCAAGCACTGCTGGTGTAGACAGGCTGGAGTAACTTCAAAGGCTACACGAATGTTTTTCTGCTTCCACCCTATGCAGACAGTCTAAATGCTTCTTGCAGATAAACATCAAATCCCTTTGCTATTTCTTGTCTTTTCCAAGGTTCTTTCACACAAGCCATACCTTTTTGTACCTCTGCTATTTTGGTTCATCATACTGCAGTGCTCAATAATCTGTACTCGTCATTAACATCTGGCCATTGCAATAAGATTTGGTGACAAACACATGGCCCAAAAGTCACACAGAAACTTGCAGACGCAACATGGGCGAACTACAGATACAAGACAAGCAAACACAAAGCTTCCCTAGAAAGTCCCAGACCTTCTTGGTTTACCAAAGAACAGCAGAATAGTAACAGGGAGAACTCCAATCCCCTCTAAACTCACTATGACCATGAACAATACCAGTGGTTAACTAGTTACGTGTACTTGTAATATGTGGTGAATAACTGGTTACATACAGGACTGAGAAAGGCTCAATTCCTGCATTGTTACTCTGTTAGTTTTAGCTACTTTCTACAACCAAATGTTACCTTAGTTACATCTTAAAGTGGTAAATTCAGCAGGACCTCATTTTGGAGGAAAATATTCCTTTTTTGACTAAATATCCTGAAGTAACACTGCTCATAAGGCACACATGGAGCAGGCTGAGAAGACTGCAGCATAAATCACAAGAAATAAAGTAATATCTAAATACCTTCAAATTATTCTGTGAACTGCAGCTTGCAGAAAAACACCCACATTTGCCCTCTTCAGTAGAGGCTACAGAAGCAATAACACTAACTGTAAGATTATATCATACAGTCCCCTTTATACAGCACACCTATGCTCAAACTGGAGTATTTCCCAAGGGTAAAACTGTGTAAATATAGCATAACTCTAATATTCATTCAGTGGCAGTGTTAAACTTCTGGCTAAATAATTCCACAGATGAGACACAAATTCAAACCAGAATTTGTTACAAAATGATGTCAGAAAGGGGGAATTTCAGGATTGAGACTGAGTATGTCCCACCTGTGATGCTGCCAGGAAGCTGAATGCAGAGTCTGAAGAACGTAGTGGACTAAAAGGGTATCAAAGACTTAGATCACCACCTAGCTCGAGAAAGAACGCATACGATGTTTTTAGCTCTGGTTTTGTTATTTTCATCCATCAGCCCCAGGGTATATAATAATTCCTCTCAATTTTGGGATAGATTACTGATTATTATTGTCAATAGCACATGAATACACCAAATGCTAATAAGCACAGTGAATAAGTTTTTCCTCCTGCACAATACACCAATCATGAAAATGGGTAATTCAGACAATGCTGTTCCATTAAAATGGTGAAAATTAGGTCAAAGAAATCACTGAATGACAAAAGAGTTTACAGCTTTCCACAGAAGTAGTTGTTGCAGGACTAACAATGACATCTAGGATTTTTCCTTTACTGGTCATAAGAAGAATATGAATCAGTGATGTTTGTAAGTGGAAAAATAACCATAAAATATGTTACAGTCATACCATCCTGCAACGCTACCCTAAAATGAAACTGGAGAAGACTCCAGTTTCTTTGAAGAACATGTTCCAGGCATTTAGGAGTGGATTAGGAGGGACTTCAAAGGCTCACAGAGTTGCATATAAAGCATTCATTGCACTCTGTCAGGGAAGGTCTGGTTTTACACTTTAAAGGTAGCTGACAGAGATTTTGCCTCAAAGCTGAGGCCTGTGACCTTTTGCATCACTTTAAGGCAAACAAGCTGCATTACCAGGCTTTGCCTTCATGATTTGCTTTAAGGATTTTACACCTTTAGTAAATGATCTTTCAAAGGGCAGTTGTAACAGCAAGTTTTCTATCCATTAATGAGAAAACAGGAATTAATGAGAGGCTGGGCAACGCGAGATCCCCCTGGTAACAGTTCACTGTCTCTGTCCCAGGGTTCTGAGGGATCTCTTATTTCAGTATCCTGGGACAAGATGCTGCTGCACTGGACTGACAGAGAGTTGTGGGAATTGACAAAGGCAGCGTGGGAGGGGGAGGGTCTCAAAGAGCTGAAGCGAGGTTTCCGTCTTTTAAAAACCAATCCAACCCCCCCAACTTTGTCTGTTCTCCATTATCTCCTACTTGTGAAATCTCAGTGGGAATTTCCCCCGCAACAGGAATTGCATTGAAGTAACTTTGTTCACAGCCTCCCCTCTCCATCCTGACATTATGCTGGCCAAAGGTTTTATTAGAGGCCAATGATGAGTTACTAAGACAATACACAAGACAAGGAGCTTCAGTCATTTATTACTTCACCACTTGTGAGATGCTGCTTTAGTGTTATCCACTGGCTTCTGGTTTTTTTGGGTTTGCTTTTCACAAGTTTGTTTTTTCAAAGTCCTGGGAAACCAGGATGGAGGGTGGATGCCCTCAGGCTGGGATACACCTGACCTCGTGGGAGATGCCCAGTGCCTCACTGATAACTACCATAAAGGTGCTCTTAATGGCCACTTTAAATTCCAACAAGGAAGTGGCTGCATTGGGGTTATCAGCCCAGAGATCACCTTGTTTCCTTCATAGTGAAGAAAAATTTTAACAATCGATTGATGGAGTTTTTTTATTATATTTGTTATTCAAATGGAGTAATATAATACCTCAACTGTGACTGCTAAAACCCCAGCCTGATGCAACCCCTACCAGCCACCCTGTGCTCCTGCTGATCCCCACAGCACAGCTCCCACTAGAGAAAGATACTGAGGGTAGAAAGGGAACCCCTTCACCTCAACTATCAGAGTTTCACAGCTACTAAACTCGAATAAAGGAATGGAAAGAGTTATGTCTCCATGACAACAGGAAGGCATGTGCTTATATTAGTAAATCCCTGCTGACCTCTGCTGATCTTTCCCTACTCTGGTCAGCGTAAAGGATTAGCAAAAGGGTACACACCATGGCCTGTTCCCAGGAACCACACATTAGGAAGGAAAACTGGACAGGCCTAAAAGGGGCTTTCATGTTGGTACCCCTCTCTTCTCCATCCTTGCTAACTTCGGAAAGTAATGGCTGAATAAAACTGAATCCTTTAGGAAGTACCTTCAGTGTCCTTGTTCAGGGAGCATACAGGGCCTTTTTAGGTGGCTTTACACATCCTAAGAATTTACAAGCCCAATTTCCTTATTGACATGGAGAGATTAAATCCTTTCTTCCCACCTACTCCAGTAATACCAGCAGCAGAAAACAGGAAATTCTGAGGCTACTGACAAGCTCATGACATTAATAATTGGCACTGGTTTTTCACCTAGCCTAAAATATTCCATAACATGTATTCCTTGTCCTCTTACACGGTAATGGGCATCTTTTGATAGTTCTTTTAACAGTGGGCTTCTCTATTCAACATGAGAAAATGGGACGTGGGTATGAGAAGCTTTCCAAAATACCAGTGTTAGATCACAACTACTAAGCCCTGGAGCTGCAGCAGCTTAACCACCTCTGCCAGCCAAGCTCTGTTGAAGTAACTTGCTCCCACCTACCAGCTGCTCCCTCTCCCCACAGCCACTTCCCATCAGCTTTGTTTGAATTTCCCTGTCTCATGCTCAGGTAATGTCACCATTAGGATCAGGTATATTCAATTCCCCTCAAGATTCTGGGGCCCAGAGTCAAGTTCTTAATCACACAAACCCTGTATCTTGCTCACTACCAGTCTGGATACTAATTTAAAACTCTAGTGACGTCCTTGCACACAGCTCAGACTGCAGCTTTTCCTGTCTAGTGTTTTAGATGGATAGAGTGTTCATCATTTCCCAGCTTACTTCTGACATTGTTTTTCTTCGTTACTGGAGAGCAACAAGCCCCACACCACAACATTTGCATGTTCCAGTTTTGGTGTGACGGAAGATTTTCATGCCAGAGATATGTACTGTCTACTGTGTAAATTATTTATAAAGACTTTATAAAGGCCCAGACCACTAGACTTTCATTAACATGGGCACAAGCAGATGTAGCTCCATTTCCCCTTGTGAAATATGCAGAGTATTTGTCCCCCCTTCAAAGAGGCAGAATGTGATTCCTGGCTCTCTCCCACCCAGCTTGCCCAGTGAATTGCCAGATGGTGCCAAACGGTGGGCAGCGATCCACAGCATTGAGCAGTGCCAATATGATGGCCAGAGGTATTACCAGCATTAATCAGAAATACCACTTCAGGGAATTAAACTTACTCAACACAGAACAAGTAGCCAGACAGCTTGTTTCCATTACCTGTTCAATATTTTAATTCAGATTTAAAGATGTAACTCCTATTATATTGCTTATAGAACTAGGAGAAGGACAGGAGCTATAAATCCACATTTTATGACAGCACTGCATATATTGCCACAGTGACCCTTTGATCTTCTGTGCTTATAACACCCAGTATTTTCCCTTTAATAAACACTTCTCCAAGCTGACCTTCATGGTTTACACATTCTCTGATCTCTCAGCCATTTCCACAGATCAAACACTGAGACAGGGGGTTTCCTGTGTATTCAGTTAACCAGATTGAGTCATAAGCTTTAATTTCCAATTCTTATTTAAATACACTGAGCACCAAACAAAACAGCTGAAAAGATTGTATGTCTTTGCTTCCACCTTTTGAAGCAAGGGAGATTTAAACTGTCCCTGTGTCCGAGCTAATCTCAAGAGCTGAATTAGAGCAGATAGTGAACTGCCAGAAAACAGGTCTGTTTGCACATATCCTCTTCTTAATAGGTGTCCAAAGCATTCTCCAGGCCAAAGGTATGTGAATTACTCTGCTCCTTGTCAGCTGGAGTTGTGGGAACAGAAATGAGTAGACACTCATTCTGCCCTCCAGAATCTCCTTTAGAGCACAAGTTGGGCAGAACAGCTCTCAGCCTATTCCAGACAGTAAAACTGGAGTCACATGCAGAGTCTGCACCACTGTCCCTCTGGAGTTTATGTCAAACAAGTGGAGGCAGTGAGGAGCTGGCTGTAGGGGGGCCTCAGGGTTACAGCTTGCAACAGCCCATCTGGAGAATCGGGAGAGGTAACTTGACCACTCTGTGCCTCACTGACACTTAGACTCAATTAGACATTAAAAAAAAGTAGTATGTACCACATAAGGGCAAGAAAAGTCATTTTTTATGGCCTTAAAAGTCTGCAAATGCTCCATAAATATTACCATTCTCTACAGTTAAAATCTGGCAAAATTCCCCTTGCAAAATAGGAGCAGGTAGAAAGCCTATGGAGATTACCCCTTCCCTTGAGCTTTGCTGGGCTCTATCGAGATGTGTCATCCACCTGCACTCCAAAAGGAAACAATGCTCTCACTACCCCAGTAAAAAGCTACCAGTGCAATGGTCAAACAGCACAAACCCTCAGAAACATGCCAGCTCCCTGGCAGCCACCTCCTGAACAATACTGTGTATGCAATGGGCCTTCCTTCAGCACAACACAAAGCCACCATAATTGCTTCACACTCCAAACCAGTAGCTATGGTTACTAGATACAAAAGACAGTCCTGCTGCTTCCCCATAGCCAGAGGAATTCCAGGCGCTTGGAGTGAATGCACCAGACAAAGGAACTGGTACAAAGAGATGGGGGGGGGGGGAGCAGACAAAAATCTAACCATATTTTGACTTTCATATTCATAGTCCGAGGTGATCAGAGCAAAGGAGATTTAGGGAGGCTTCAGAAGGGGGAAAGAAAAAAAGAAATATAAACCGTTGGGGAGCCAAGGGAAAAGCTGAAAACTTTCTCCAACTACTCAGGAAGTACATAAACATCAGCTACTGATGCAAGAGAATGCCAGCTGCAGTGTTCAGCAGGTACTGGCAGAGAAAAGGACTTTTGCTGTATTTCCCCCATGTTCTCTGTATTTTACCTCCACTCCTTCATGTCAGTGATCACTCCTGTCCCAGCTCAGCGGGAACCAAGCAGGAGTATTACACACAGATACTGGCCTGGCAGTGCCAAGGAGAGGATAAGGAGGCTAGTTCAATCACAATCACACTTTCCAGTAAAAGGCTGGACATGTTCTGACATGACCATATAATCCCTAGACGACTAAAACAGATGTCTAGGCCCCATCTTCAGGCACCATCACAGAAGAAACAGAGAACTCTATTTTTCAGAGCATAAGAAATTGTATACAAGGGTGATTTTTGGAGCCTAAAGACATGTTCATGTGAACTTGGAGAATCCCAGTATACTCAAGTATATTACTTGGCTATAAAATAAGTTCCAATGTGCAAAACACCAAAATCAACCCTCCATCAGTGCACTTCAGGATGGATCTGCTTGCTTCAAAATTTGTAACTGAGAATACTCATGTACTCTCTTCTTCCTCCACATTTTGTACCAGAGGTATCTGGCACTTCAGCATATTAATATACTCCCCTAGGTACACTCCTCTTTTGCTTAGATGTATTTCTATAGCACATAGAATGGAAATAAAGCTCTGTGTTTCTTCTTTATGGGCACAACCATAAAATTCAGAACTTTTACATGGAGAAAGAGGTTACTATAACAGCTGAATACTTCACCACATGAAAGTGCACACACTTTCAGCTCTTGTGAATAAATGCATATATACATGTGCACAAGGAGAAAGATGAAAGAAAATAAGAAGTAAATAGAAGGAAAAACATATCTGGAATGAAATGCCTGTTTATCTGCCGGACAAGAAGTTTTCAGGCACCAAAGCTCACTGTGAGAGTGACATTCTGTTCAGCTGCAGGTCACAGATTTGATCCAAAGTTACTGCATAGTGGCTGGGTAAGAATCAGGCACAGAAGACAAAAAACTTACCCCAAAATACGAGGAAAAGTGGCAGCAGGAGAGCAGCATTGTACGCTCTGGAGGTAGTTTTCCTTAATTCCATGACAAGTCTAAGAGTGGCTGTTCTACAAACCTCTGGGGAGAAACAGTAGTTGGAAACTAGCAAATACCAGCTCTGTCCACATCACGGACTCTGGAGAATTCTCCCCACTACAGGCACTGGCTCTATGCTCCGCCGAACTGGGGACTAGCACTAACACAGTGGACAGAGTCCCCGTCCACTCTCAATGCTTCACTCGTGTTCCTGGAACAAGGAGAAAATGCTGCCTGGATCGCACGGATTGAACTGCACAGGGCAAGGAGAGCAGGATTTACAGGTTTAGGCAGCTGGTGAGTTACAGGCTGTCAAAGGGAGCAAGAAAGGGAGGAACTGGGAGAGTCACAGCACACGCAAAAAGGAAAAAAGACCCTGGTGTTGCTTTCTGCTTTCTGGTTTTTTAACTCCCCCAATATAACGAAGAAAACAAACCTGGTGTCTCCTCCATGGCTGTGACAGGAGCTCAGAACTGGCTTGGGGGCTGAGGTGGCTGGGGGCATTTCTAAGATGCAGGCTTCTGTATCAGCTCATATTTATAAGCGAACTCCAGATGAGGATCAGTCACAATTTTCTGATCAAGGCTGCTTTGTTCCAAGAGAAAATAAGACAAAAGACAAAAGCACACTGTTAATCCCAATTGCATAGTTAGCCCACATTTGTCTTTACTGCTGTCTCCCATGCATCATGGGATGGGTGAACCTGCAAGACATATGAACCCACAAAACATACACGAATCCTTTTCCCAACTAAGGAACAGTTATAGAGCTCAACAACAGAAGTGTCTGCATTACACAAGCACCGAATCACATCACCATCTTTAGATGCACATGCTTAGCTTTAGAAGTGGGAAAAAAATATCAGTGTCTATTGTTTTATGAGAGTAACTGGAAAAAGACAGAGCCCACACTCTGCTGTGACCTACTAAGCACCTCTAAATCCACATCACAATTGGATTAAATTAACCATAATAAGAATTACGTGCATTGCCTCACCCTTCCACTGACAACTAAAGATAGAAGACAGGTAAGACGCCATACAAATTCCAAGTTTAAGCAAGAAATATGCAGCATAGCAAGGCACTGGCGCAGGCAGACCTAAGTTGCACATGATGAAAACAACAGCAATCCTACAATGAGTAATTTGTGTTATCTCAGCATCCTTGCAGAGCAGACAGAGGCTGCTGGGCCATGTGCAGGGAAATAGGTATTTACTGCCTTTGGTTTTACCTTCAGTGCAGAAAGGAGAACAGTCACCAATGACAGAACTCACCACCAAAACACTGCAATTCAGGAACAAATGGTTCATCTCACCATCCTGCCTTGGAATGCTCCAAAGATCATGTGTTATCAACCTTATCTGGACCACCCTGCCCCCACTTTCATCTCTGGTGTCTTCAGTCTGTTTTCTCAAGATCAGCCTCAGCATTAGTTTCTTGCCAGTTACCACAACCATCTGGAACTCATTTCTCTCTCCTCAGACTCTCTTTTGCTGTCAGGGGATGTCACCAAACACTGACACATGCAGAATCTTTCTGCTCAGAATGCCTCACCTGCATGAATTATCCTCACAACACCTCACCTTTTCCAAATCAAAGCAAATACACACAAATCCACTGCACAATTTATACTGCAAGAAGCCACCATTCTTCCCCTACTGAATTCAGCCCCTTCTGTAAGTTGACTTGTGCAATACCTCACAACTCTTGGGTAATAAACCTACACACAGTAGTTTGGAGCTCATGTGTCTACCTGAAGGACATGGTCAGCTTTCATAAACCAGAATTAGTGCTACAAATCCCCACACATGAGAAAGTAGACATCCTCCCACAGAGGCTTAGGTCTTGTACAGCTCTGCTGTGTGGTGTGGCTTGTGCTAGTGACCAAGTTTTATTCTGGAGTCTTCATTTGGTCTTTCTGTCAAGTTAACATTGACACGTTGAAACTGAGCTGATAATATGGTTGATATGTCAGTAACATCACACATGGTATCAGCAGTACCTTTCTGAAGGCAGCATTTCATCCTTTTGTCACAATAGGGTATATATGGTTCTCAGCCAAAACCTTCCACAGACAGTGAGACTCCCATGCCTTATCACTGCCAGGACACACAGATTGTGAGCTCTGGGACTGCAGCAGGTTACGGGGGATGATCCTCTTGAAAAAAGTGTTCACTTGCTCCTTCCAACCCCTGCTAACTGCAGCACATCTGAGTGTCTGCCAGGACTTCAGGCTTATTTAGTGTTGCCCAAAACCCAAGGTAATGAAGCCCAAATACTCAAGACATCCAACTTCCTTATAATAATCAAAGTACCTTAATCCAGTGTCCACCTGTGAGCATATTAGAAATTATTTTCCAGTGTTCATGGTTGCAACTTCCTGAGATTTTGCCAGCATAAATGTCAGACCATTTCTATACTGGATCCTTGGGCATACAAAAGCTAGCGTGGTATTAACCAGCTTAGTCCAATTAAAGGACCCTATCACAACTCTGTACAGGGCCTGATTTGTTAGGCTTGACTACATTTCCAAAGAAGGAGCACAACTGGGTGGATTTGTTATCTAAAGCATAAGCTCCAAGTCCTTAGTCATCCTTGCTAAAGCCTTCCCCAAGCTGGCCTTGGTTTGTGCTACCTCCGCATCACTGCAGTCCAACGTCACTATAATCTGCTCTTTACCATAGTATTAAAACTAGAGCCAAAGGACACAGCTGCTTTCGTTTGGGTAACACTCATTACAAGAGACTTAGAGCCAGCATAACAGCAAGGCTTCTATTCTCAGCCAGTAGGTAAGAAACTCTGCAAGCCGGAAATGCATGCCATGAAAATGGGGCAGCAGTAAGCAAGGTGGATTAAGAGAAAGGAGAGAAAGTAGGTCTGGGGTACCAGCAGAACCCGTTTGTCTTATTCTATACCTTTTTGTGTACTTTTCACAACACAATCCTACACACTTTTCTACAAACAGTTCAGAATGAACTGCACAGCCAAGAATCTAAGCAAAACGGTCTGCACTTTCCATTCAAAGAACAATGTACATTTGCATGAGTTTCATGATCTTTCTTCACAGAGGGATTAAAATAATCCCAATATTACAGACTGGATACTACAGCTTAGATGTGCAATATGACAGCTAACATCACAGACAGAAGCTAGTAAGAATAAAGGCATTCCTATCTCCTGTCATATCCAGTGTAGCTGCCTCAGAGGGGAGAGCCTCACCTTCCCTCCTTACACTTCTGGAATTCATCACTGAATACAAATCTGCTTGTCCAAATTGAACAATGCAAACTGCCCTCCAAGGTCCAATCTCCACCTCGAAATTGGCTCTTTCCTGTAATAACCAAAGCTACTGTCCCTTAGCATGCACTGTCACACTTTTCCATCTGGCCACTAGATGCCCCTTCTGCACTGCACAAACTCAAGCAAAGGCCATTGTGTGAAAACTGGAGAGTTGAAAAGAAATTCGTTATCATCAATGCTGCCAAACCAACACAATCAGAAACATCCTGGAACGCTGTAGACTGAGCCAAGCAGCTCACTGATCACTATACTGCAACATCTACACATCAGGAGAGTGAAGGAAGAGTTTTGTCTGCAAGTCAAAACTTTAAAGTTGCTCTTAAAACATGGAAAAATCACACAAAATTTCCAGTCTCAACACAGCCTGATTGCACTCTATACGCACAAATTCAGTTTATTTATGAGAATTTAATAGGAAATATCTGCGTGGGTTAAGACTGAACATAGCGTACGTATCCCATACATGTAGGTTTAGAGCCCATCTCTTCCCAGCCCTGCAAGCCTGGCCATTAGGCGCCATCCCGTGGCAACCTGTGTGCATCTTGGGATGCACCAGCAACAAGGCTCAAATTCATGTTTTGTGTCACTTTTACAGCTACAAACCGTGAACAAAACCTCAGTGAAACCCAGCCTTAACTGAGAAACTGGGACACCAACAGGTCCCCTCAACAGAACATCAATTCTACAGAGAAATGACATTTTAAGCAGAACGTTTCCTAATACGCATGACCAGCACTTTCTCAGAAGATTCCTGTATTTGTCTGCAGACTACGCGAGGTTCAGGGTCAGGATTTGAGGGGAAAAAATTGAAGCAGATTTGCCTGAAGTCTGAAATCACCCACTGTGCCTTGCAACACTGGCTGCTTGTGCAAACACCTTTACTACATGCCTCATTCCAAAAGGAGCAAATTATAAGAAACATAACAAGGATATCCGAAAATACACAGTACCTATAGTCTCCTCTCCAATATATAAGCCCATTTACAACATACACTGACTAGGCTGCAGTAAAGACAGGGCCATACTTCTGCCAAGTTATCTCTAAAGGGAGTTCCAGAAGTCAGGCTCTAACCATGTATGTACCCTTTGATCTATGCAAGACTCTGCTGGAGTGCCACAGGTCAGCTTTAAGTCCCTTTGATCCTCTTTCCAGTGCTTACAGCTGCCTTGGTGGAGGTGAATCCCTTCCACTGGGCCTCTTTTGGCAGATGGGAAGATGAGAATGTTGAGCAGCTAACAGGAAGCAGCAAACAGTGTAAAAAAGGTCTCAGGCAAGATTTTCTGCAGTAAAATGTTATAGCAGGAAGCAGGATTTGTCCAATACAACGACTGGATCTTAGGGGTTTGAAGTTGTGTTGACTATTGAGAGGGCCTTCTACCGAAACATGTTAAGAAATACCCTTTTCACAACGACCATCGCTGCTTAGAGAGAGCCTCTCACGCCACGGGAGGGCAGTGCTGGGCAGCTTTCTGATCTACCAGCCTAAAAACAGCTTTGAAAGGCAACCTTCTGAATTAGCGTATGTTTGTTGCAAATGTCTGCATTGCTGGCAACCCCGCAGGAGTCAGGCTGGTGCCTAGGGCGCTTAGCAGGCTTCAGGGGAAAAGCTAATGCTCAGCCAGAACCAAAAGAACCTACAATCAGAGCCAAAGTAAGGGAGCTATGCCCTGCAGCAGAGCCTGGGTGAAAGGAACCTTGAAATGCAAAAGTTTGCTCTCTATGAAGGCCGAACACAGGGAGGGTGGAAAAGGGAATTTTAGGAAAGCCCCCAGCTGGACCTGAAAAAACAAACACATCAAGTGCACCACATCAGCTGTGTGTTCTGAACAGTCTAGACTCAAAGTCCTGTATGTTCTATGACATCTATCTCTGCCATGGAAAT